ATCGGTCAAAATTTAGATAAGGCTCCCATATATATCTTCGTCCGATTTGCCTTTTATTGTGCACCAAAAGTCTAATATCAGCCCGAATAGTATGGAATTTTGCACATACAACCAAATTAGGCCTGAAAATAAGTATGCCAAATTTGATCGAAATCAGTTCAGATATAGCTCCCCAGCTGTAGTATGCACTCTGTAACAACAATATTTGGAGAAATATATCAAATACAACTCAGAAATACATTTGCTAAATTTTATCGAGATCGGTTCAGATTTGGATATTGCTCACATATATAAATTTGTCCGATTTACCCTTTTTTGTGCACCAAACGTCTAATATTTGTCCAAATGGGATGGATTTTGGCACTTACGACCGAATTGAGTCTAGAAGCTAGTATGTCACTGTACTGTTCATCCAATTTGTTATATTTGTTACCCACCTTAATATGCCGTAATATGCACTCCGTAACAACGATATTTAGGGAAATATATCACATACAGCTCAGAAATATCATTGCCAAAATTTATCGAGATCAGTTCTGATTTGGATATAGCTCCCATATATATCTTTATCCGATGTCAAAATAATTGTGCTCAAAATGGGCAATACAAGTCCGAATTTAAAATATACTTTAAATTATAATTATAATCATAGCGTGTATGATTGAATTCTCCCATAAAAACTTTTAATTGTTATGCGGTGCTCTACTAAATTAGCAAAGTGGTGTAGGGTATTATAAAGTCGGTCCCGCTCGACTTTAAGACTTTCTTTACTGTTTTTTTTAATAAAATCCTTATCGATGTCGTATATGCACTAAATAGCAATGTTACTTGGTATGTTTGGTATGATCTACATCACATAAATTCCCAATATATACTTTTTTGTTACGGCAGCTTTACTAAACTGGAAAAGCAATCTATTGTGGAGGTCTTCTAAGTGGGACTACTACATCAACATTATGTGTGTACTTATTCAGAAACCAGAGAAAATTGTTTATTTTTACCTGAACCAAAAGTATTGGAATTCAATATTCAAACAAGTTGCACTTAAACCGAAATTTCCAGACGAAACGTTTGGAGAACACAGTTAAAATCGTCTAATTATTAACAAGTAGAAACGCACCTAAGTACGGCCGGGCCGAACATTTAATACCCTCCAACATTTGGAAGAAACTTGAAATTTTAAAAACAAAATTGTCTTAAAATACCGTTTCAATGAAAATCATTACATGGGGGCTATACAAAGACGAGTACCTGCATAAATAATTTTTGTCATAGACTGTAGTACCGATTCCGAACTTCAAATACGAAATTTAAAGTAGAGAACATCGGGATATATCGTTATATGGGGGCTATACGTACGTAGTTTTGTGAATAATGTCGCTATATCATCAAAATACCGAATAAAGGGAGGTACCGTTATATGGTGCCATAGGAAAACATAGACCGACATGGCCCATTTATCTTGATTCGTTCAAAAGATTACGGACATTGCTAGATCGACGAAGAAATGTACGCTGATCAAGAATATGTATACTTTGTTGGGTCTGATATGATTATTACGAGAAGTTACAAACGGAAGGACAAAATTAATATACTCTCCATAGTATGGTGGAGGGTGTAAAAAGTGAGGGGGTACCGTTATATGGGGGAGTTGTTATCTACTGTGTGCTTCAAGTACCATATTTAAAACAATGCCTTTAAAAATGCGGTTAGAAACATCAATATATCGAATATCCTGAAGTAATGTTACACAATGTTGTGCCAAAGAATGTAGAACTTGGTATAAATGGATAAATGGATATGCAGACAATGTTATAAATATCAAATTTGAAACAATTCTGTTAGAAAATATGGCCTAAATAGTCAAAATACCGAATACCGGTTTTAAAGGTCAGAGGCTCTTCTCTCATAAATTTATGATATCTGTAATTTTGCAATTTTTTACACAAAAGTTGAGATCCATTTTAATTTTTTTTTATTTTTGATGATAGTTCGGCTAACTAACCACTAAAATTAAAACTCTAACTCCATTTAAAATTCCAGGTCGATTGGACTTACCTGTAGAGTAACTGTAACTGTTTATTTTTTGGTCTGCTTCTACCACAATTTTATCAATTGACTTTCTTAAAATCGTGTTTCTCAATATGATGACAGGACCTTTTTTCTGTGGTCTACGAAGTTCGTGCTTATTTAATGAAAATATATTCCTGGTACCTTCGAAGTGGTGTTTAATGTAAAGTTCAGGATATGCGATTAGCAATTAATTTATATTGCAGCAGGGTACTTTGCCTTTATAAAAGATTGCACCACATTCCTGCTACTTAATTAATTTATTAAATTCGTTACCGCGTTAATTTGCACACAGCCACATGTAAACATTTGCAATCAGAAAACCAGTAAAGAAAGTCCTAAAGGCGGGCGGGCCGACTTTATGATACCCTACACCACTTTGTTAATTTAGTAGAGCTCCGCATAACAATTAAAAGTTTTTATGGGAGAATTCAATCATACACCCTATGATTATAATTATAATTTAAAATTCCAATGACTAAATATGCCGAAGCATTTGTATCTTTTAAATTCGGACTTGTATTGCCCATTTGGTGCAAAATTAATTTGAAATCAGATAAAGATATATATGGGAGCTATATCCAAATCTCGATAAAATTTGGCAAAGATATTTCTGAGCTGAATTTGATTTATTTCCCTAAATATCGTTGTTACGGAGTGAATATTATGGCTGTGGGTAACAAATACAACAAATCGGATGAACAATATATATGGGAGCTATAGCTATATCTGAACCGATCTTCACCAAATTCGGCATACTATCTTCTAGACTCAATTCGGTCGTATGTGCCAAATTCCATCCCATTTGGGCAAATATTAGACGTTTGGTGCACAATAAAATGTAAATCGGACAAAGTTATATATGGGAGCTATATCCAAATCTGAACAGATCTCGATAAAATTTAGCAAAGGTATTTCTGAGCTGTATTTGATATATTTCCCCAAATGTTGTTGTTACAGAGTTCATATTACGGCTACGGAGGACAAAAATAACAAATCGGATGAACAATATATATGGGAGCTATAGCTATATCTGAACCGATTTCGATCAAATTTGGCATACCTATTTTCAGGCCTAATTTGGTTGTATGTGCAAAATTCCATACTATTCGGGCTGATATTACACGTTTGGTGCACAATAAAATGCAAATCGGACGAAGATATATATGGGAGCTATATCTAAATTCTGACCGATTATCTCCAATTTCAATAGGGTTCGTCCTTGGGCCAAACAAATGTTGTTTGGAAAATTTCATCTCAATCGGATAATAAATGCGACCTGCAGTTTGTTCACAAGAATACATGGACAGACGGACGGACAGACGGACTGACATGCATAAATCAACTCTTAAAGTGATTCTATGCAGATCATCAAAAGGAACTATGGGTCTATCTCGTTTCCTTTTGCCTGTTACAAACAAATGCACAAAGACATAATACCCTGACCACCTTGTGGTGTAGGGTATAAATAGATGGAAAGTAACTAAAAGCTTTTAGGTAGTGATACCGGAAAGAAACTATTTTATTCGTATTCTCCAGCCATGCTTGGAAATGCAAATTTTTGACGTTGTATTTTCCCTGTTTCTATATTTATATTTAGCGTTTAAGATTGCGGCGCGGAATCTACGTATTTTACACAGAAAGAAAGAGAACTAATAACAAAATAAACTTGATTTTTGGCGAATGCATTTTTTCGTCTTTCACGAATCCAATTTTTTTCTTTGCAAGTTCACATTTTCGGGGATTAGTAAAAACATGTCTTTTCAAATTTTTACTCGAAATGCGTTCGTTTATAGGTTTTATTTTAAATCCGGGGCGGAATCTACTTACGGTACTTACGGAAAGCATCCTTCCTTTCAAATTTCAACTAACGTTATATATATATATATATATATATATATATATATATATATATATATATATATATATATATATATATATATATATAAGTTGTGCTTATAACTTAAGAACCGCTGGACTGATTTTAACGAATCATACAAATTCGGAATTGTGTCCTGTCCGTAAAAAGGTAATATCCAAAAAAATTGCGTAAAAATGTGATATATTAACATTTTCATTTTGACTTTTGAAATGTACAATAGTAATGTTCTATTTTGCATGATTTTTTCCATTTTGACTTACTTTCTAATGTACATATGTAGTGTTTTTTATACCCTCCACCATACTATGGAGGGTATATTAACTTTGTCATTCCGTTTGTAACTCCTCGAAATACTCATGTCAGACCCAACAAAGTATATATATTCTTGATCAGCGTAAAATTCTAAGTCGATTTAGCCATGTCTGTCTGTCTGTTGTAATCACGCTATCTTTCGAACGAATTGAGATAGAAGGTTAAAATTTTGCACACGTGTTTATTTTTCTAGTAGCAGTTTAAGTTCGTAAATGGGCCATGTAGGTCCACGTTTTCACATAGCCCCCATATATAAGTACCTCCCGATATTCGGTATTTGGAAAATGATTTTAGCGACAAATGATAAGTCGAGGCGACAATAATGATATTAGGGTTGTCGTTTTTTGTCGATAGCGACAAATATATAAATAAGTTGTGCTTATAACGTAAGAACCGCTGGACTGATTTTAACGAATCATACAAATTCGGAATTGTGTCCTGTCCGTAAAAAGGTAATATCCAAAAAAATTGCGTAAAAATGTGATATATTAACATTTTCATTTTGAATTTTGAAATGTACAATAGTAATGTTCTATTTTGCATGATTTTTTCCATTTTGACTTACTTTCTAATGTACATATGTAGTGTTTTTTATACCCTCCACCATACTATGGAGGGTATATTAACTTTGTCATTCCGTTTGTAACTCCTCGAAATACTCATGTCAGACCCAACAAAGTATATATATTCTTGATCAGCGTAAATTTCGAACGAATTGAGATAGAAGGTTAAAATTTTGCACACGTGTTTATTTTTCTAGTAGCAGTTTAAGTTCGTAAATGGGCCATGTAGGTCCACGTTTTCACATAGCCCCCATATATAAGTACCTCCCGATATTCGGCATTTGGAAAATGATTTTAGCGACAAATGATAAGTCGAGGCGACAATAATGATATTAGGGTTGTCGTTTTTTGTCGATAGCGACAAATGGTTGCCATTATCATTGTCGATACAATAGTCGACGTGAAGTCGATTTTTGAGAATATCTGTCGCCGTAAAAAATTGTGACGACATAGCATTTTTTAGTCGATATTTGAGCATCAAAATAACAACAGCAAAACAATTTGAAATTTTGGTTTCCGAATTGGAAAAAAATCCATGTTTGGTAAAAGGGTTTACCAAAGGTCATGTTCCAGCTAATTTTAAATCTGATTGGGCATCTATTGCTACAAAATTAAATGTAAACGGGCCTCCGATTAGAGACTCCGATGGCTGGCAAAAAGTATGTAAAAATTAAAATTATTTTTGTATGTTTTTATTAGTTGGTTTTCTAAAATTCTTCTAGGTTTGGAAAAATTTAAAACTAAAAAGAAACTTGTGCACAACAAAGATGAAACCAGCAGCACTGGAGGTGGCATTTTTAAGCAAATGACTTTGTCGCCATTGGATGAGTCTGTCGCTAATATAATGCAGTTTCAAAAGTTACTGAACAGACCAGGTGGTGCACTTGGAATAGAAAATAAGGAAAACATAAGGGTAATAAACGTTATAGTTCATGAAAATGAGCAAGTGGACAATGTTGAAGACGAGACTGATGTAACCTACTATTGAAACTTCTCGATCGCCCAGAAAGAACAATGGTAAAAAGTCATCAAGGAATGTACAAATTATTGAACTCTTGGAAGAGCGTTATAAACTTTTGGAACAACACAATCAAGAGCCAGGCAATGCAAATATGTTTGTTGGTTGCCTTAACACTCGCCGCTGCACTACTAATACACACTTCTTTTCATCCTCACTTGAACTTAAGATATGTAACGCATTTATAATCTTCATTTTTTTCACTATATTTTTTATTTTTCCGAAAGAGTCGAAATTAGAATTCAAAATACAAAACAAAATTATCTTTTTTTTTTTTTGTCAATAACAAGGGAGTGTTGCCAACGCTTTTTTAATTGTTGCCAACTTTTATTTTAAACTGTCGATGTCGCTTCTATGCCTTACCATAATACCATTTTTGAATCGAAGCGACGGCGAGGGCGACTCGCATATAAAGTCGACGACGACTATAGTAACGACAACCGTAATTGGGCCGATTATTCATCGGAATTGTTTCAAATTTGGTATTTGAAGTTCGTAATGGATACTACAAATTGCCTGTGTAGGTCCACGTCTTCGTATAGCCCCCATATAATGGCACCTCCCAAAATTCGGTATTTTGATGATTTAAGGTACAATACCCATCGAAATTGTTTGAGATGTCGTATTTGAAGTTCGTAATGGATGCTACAACCTGTGACGGAAATTGTCTATGCAGGTCCAGGTCTTTTCACAGCCTCCTCCCTATATACGATATTTTGATGATTTTAGCTACATTATTCACCGTTTATTTCAAGTTTCGAATTTGAATATGGTAATGGCTTATGACATACAAGACCTATTTAGGTCCACGTCGTATAGATCCCAATATAGCAGCTATATACGGTATTTTTAAAATTTTAACAGAATTTTTTAAGGACTTTATTTTTTGAAAATTTCCAAATTAGTTTCAAATGGTGGAGGGTATTCAAAGTTCGGCCTGGCCGAACTTACTGCTTTTTAACTTGTTATATTTTATTTTTGAATTCGAATATTAATACCAATTCATTTTATTGACTTGATTTCTTGAGAACTGAAATTGATGTCGGGTTACATGGAAATGTGGTACCGAATTATGTGGTGGCGAAACGGAATAGATGATATCGAAATAATTTAACGCGGTCACACAGTTAAAAGATAATTACTTTTTCAAAATCTCTAAAAAATCACGAAAAAAGAGATCTCATTGCAAAAATTCTCAAATCGGGAAAAAATCGAAAAAAAGCTTCTATGGAATCGAATTTTAAAATAATAGTACATTCTATTGACAACCATTGTAAGGATCTTGAAACATTTGCTGTAAAAAATCAGCGAACAAGTTGAAGATTTTTCAATTTGTTATTCTTCTTTTGTCAATTTTTTTTTAAATTTGTATTATCATATTGAATTCAGTGAATTTTTTTGTGTTTCAAATTTGGTATTTGAATTTCGTAATGGATACTACAGCCTAAGACAGAAAATTGTCTGTGCAGGTCCACGTCTTCGTATAGCCCCCATATAACGGCACCTCCCAAAATTCGGTATTTTGACGATTTTATGTACAGTACCCATCGAAATTGTTTGAGATGTCGTATTTGAAGTTCGTAATGGATGCTACAACCTGTGACGGAAATTGTCTATGCAGGTCCAGGTCTTCTAACAGCCTCCTCCCTATATACGATATTTTGATGATTTTAGCTACATTATTCACCGTTTATTTCAAGTTTCGAATTTGAATATGGTAATGGCTTATGACAAACAAGGCCTATTTAGGTCCACGTCGTATAGACCCCAATATAACAGCTATATTCGGTAATAATTACTTTTTCAAAATCGATAATTATTTTTTCAAAATCGCTAAAAAAGCACGAAAAAAGAGATCTCATTGCAAAAATTATCAAATTGAGAAAAAATCGAAAAAAAATTTCAATTGAATCGAATTTTAAAATAATAGTACATTCTATTGACAAACTTTGTAAGGATCTTTAAACATTTGCTGTAAAAAATCAGCGAACAAGTTGAAGATTTTTTCAATTTGTTATTCTTCTTTGTCATTTTTTTAATTTGTATTATCATATTGAATTCAGTGAATTTTTTTGTGAACAAAATAAAGAATAATTTTTCACTATATACAATTTTTCAGCAAAATAATGAAATAAGTGCGAAATTCGATGTTATCTGACATCTACCTTTCAACTCCAGGGCCAACATCGTCATCAAACAGATTTAAACAAACAAAAATTACCGAAAAAGCCTAATGGGGTTCATTTCAAAGCGTGGACCTACTTCTTTCATTTGACAATAATCTGTCCAATGAGAGGTCAAAATCCAAAATTCTTTGGGAGAAAATAGTAGAGCGAATGGGACTCTTAGTAAGAAAAGGATTTCTATCCTTCCAGAAACTCTTCCCAAACATTCAAGATACCTTAAATCGATTTTGCAGGTCATGATATCGATGATAACAGACGGATAAGGGTACAACCCGATTTTATATTTATATAACGTATGATTTAAGCTATTTTTGGGGTCTTGGCCACTTTTTTCATTTTTTGGCCCTTGTTTGGCATATTTGTTTCTAAGGGGGTAGAGAACCTCTTCGCATAAAATTTGAAATTTTTGGAGTAGGGCCCATATTGGCCTTGACTACATTAATCAATTGATTTGGCTAAAAAATTGTATATATGCTACCTTGGCGTAGGGAATCATCATACAGATAAGAATTTATTATGTAAGGTCCCCACATTGGAGTATCCCCAAGTCCACTTTCACAGCTAATGTGTGGTCAGAAAAGAAAATTATGTATTCTATTGAATGTGTAACCCCCAAGAGAATATTGGTTGGGAACGTAGATTTGGGATGTACATTTATATGATTTAAATTGTGAAAACATGAGCAAATTACAAAAGTTTGAAATTTTTTCTTTTCGATTTTTCCCGATTTGAGAATCTTTGCAATGAGATCTCCTTGTTCGTGATTTTTTAGCGATTTTGAAAAAATAATTATCGATTTTGAAAAAGTAATTATTACCGAATATAGCTGTTATATTGGGGTCTATACGACGTGGACCTAAATAGGCCATAAGCCATTACCATATTCAAATTCGAAACTTGATTAAACGGTAAATAATGTAGCTTAAATCATCAACATATCGTGTATAGGGAGGAGGCTGTGAGAAGACCTGGACCTGCATAGACAATTTCCGTCACAGGTTGTAGCATCCATTACGAACTTCAAATACGACATCTCAAACAATTTCGATGGGTATTGTACCTAAAATCATCAAAATACCGAATATCGGGAGGTACCGTTGTATGGGGGCTATACGAAGACGGACCTGCACAGATAATTTTCTGTCATAGGCCATCCATTTCGAGCTTCAAATACAAAAGTTGAAACAATTCCTGTGAATAATGTCACTAAAATCATCAAAATACCGAATATCGGGAGGTACCGTTATATGGGGGCTATATGAAAACGTGGACCCATTTACGAATTTAACCTGCCTTCTGGAAAATAAATATGTGTGCAAAATGTTAACCTTCTATCTCAATTTGTTCGAAAGATAGCGTGATTACAACAGACAGACGGACGGCTAAATCGACTTAGAATTTAACGCTGATGAAGAATATGTATACTTTGTTGGGTCTGACATGAGTATTTCGAGGAGTTACAAACGGAATGACAAAGTTAATATACCCTACATAGTATGGTGGAGGGTATAAAAAACACTACAAATGTACTTTAGAAAAAAGTAAGTCAAAATGGAAAAAATCATGCAAAATAAAGCATTACTATTGTACATTTCAGATTCCACCCGGATTTAAAATAAAACCTATAAACGGACGCGTTTCGAGTAAAAATTTGAAAATACATAGTTTTTACTAATCCCCGAAAATGTGAACTTGCAAAAAAAATTAGATTCGTGAAAGACGAAAAAATGCATTCGCTAAACAAGAGGTAAAATCAAGTTTATTTTGTTATTAGTTTTCTTTCTTTCTGTGTAAAATACGTAGATTCCGCGCCGCAATCTTAAGCGCTAAATATAAATATAGAAACAGGGAAAATACATCGTCTAAAATTTGCATTTGCAAGCATGGCTGGAGAAGGCGAATAAAATAGTTTCTTTCCGGTATCACTACCTAAAAGCTTTTAGTTACTTTCCATCTATTTTTCTATTGTGTGTACATGTGCTTACTCATTTTCGTTCTACACTTCCTATGTAGTTTCATGTGTGTATGATTGCAATTGTTTAAATGTGGCTGTGTGCAAATTATCATTTGTCGGCCTTTTGCATTTAATCGGAAACATTTAAGGTCTATGCCCTGTCTATTCACTTCGAAATTGATAAGACATTTCGTTTGTAACCCTATAAATGTTTAATGTAAATGGTCAGTCATTATTGCGGATTTAAAGCGAGTAATATGGGCAGCGGATCACTTTTCACTGTTTTAACATTTCTGATACTACTTACCACAAGTGTGTCATTTGAATATAATCACCTTTTATATCGTTCAATTAGAGGTGTAAAAGAAAAACCGCACATTCCAACTAACACTATTATTATCGAAACTCATATATCAAAATCGTCTGATATACGATCCGAAAAGTTGACTGAAACGTTGTGGCGCACATTTATTGAATTCGAAGCGCTTCTCGAAAACATTGTCCAAAACATTGCTGTAAATGTACCTAAAATATCGAGTGATACTGATATCTTCTTGGGCAAACTTAGAAACTACACTATATACGCTGTGGACATTTTTAGCAATAAGGTTATTAATACGGCAGATCAATTGTTGAAGGGAATGTTTGAAGATGTGGAGCATCAATTGGACGTAGTTAAAGTTGAATTTAAAAATTTGGCTTTAAGTGTTGACGAGCATTTCGAGTGGGCTGTTAATCAATTGAACGAAACCTTGATGAACAATACAGAAGAATATGATTGGTGGACGGCTCACATAAAGTATAAGTTGCGTTCCGTAAACGATTCCCAGCTTTATAAGGAAGGCTGCAAAGTCATTGATGAGTTTATACAACATAGTAATGATGAACTGCAAAATTGCTGCAAAATATCTATGAAACCCCTAAAAACCCTGTGTAAAGATGCTAGTTCCCTTCTAACGGAGTCGTTGAACATAATAGTTGATGTTATAGATCGCATTCAAACATGTCTCGAAGACAGCGGCTCTTATACCAACTACCTAGTTCCCTGTATCAATGTAGCCTACGACAATATAAGCAATATTGTGATCAGGACAATCCAACTGCGGCATCTCATTGATAATATGTTACCTATAAAAATAATTTACACCAAGAACTGCTTTGCCATTGTTATGATTGATATGAAACGACAACGGGATGAGATAGAAACTAATTTATTTAAATAGTATATTCATATATCTGCAATGAACTAAATAATATATTTTTAACCCACATACATTAAAATCTACTAAAAAGAAAAACCCAAAAATAAAATATTTTTTTTTTAAATCTGAAATATTGAGTTTTTTTAATTCTGCTTCAATACTTATGATATATATATATATATATATATATATATATATATATATATATATATATATATATATATATATTGTTTTTTTTTTCTTTTAACATCCCTAAATATTGGTATTACACTCTGTAACAATTGGTATTTAAAGTTCATAATATCTAGGTCCACGTTTTCCTATAACAGTACCGTAACAGTTGTCTCTAGAAGGTCATAACTGTTGACAAATTATGGTTTTATTGCTACGACATTCAAACCGTGTGGAAACGTCCAGAAGAGACAAACAGAAACAAACACTTCAAATTCGCTCTAATTTAATGGTTTTGCTCACTGTTTCCTTTGACAACAATGGCTGTGCTGTAATTTTGCCACAACATGATGGTTTAAGAAAATTGTGTTCGGTACGTTAAATCCCTTGATTTTATTACCACTAAGGATAATATATGCATTTTCTATACTGTGGCTATGGGTCGATACTCGATTACAATGTGGAATGTACACATGTATTTTGTTCCAGAACTTGCAAGAATCTACTAATTTTGCAATTTTGTTCGAAACCATAAAGGAAAAATCGGTTGTTGTAACAAGATTTTTACCCCACCCACGTCAAATCTTACCAAATGAGTCCATTAAAAATTCTTAATTGATAACTTGGTAAATTCCAAGAACTTTAATTTTTAGGTTTAGGGTGAAGTAAGGCAGAGTATTTGGGAATGAGAGCTATAAGTGTATTAAAATTTGATCAATTGTTCTGAAATTCAGAATTAAGGTCGCTGATGAGTTGTGGTATAAACTATTTTTTTTTTTTTTTGGAAAATTCCAGCTATAGGTGTAGTACTAAAAAGCATATATTTGGTACCACTTTGTATCCTGATGACAATTAGAAAAAAAAGTTGGGGAAGCAAGTGTTTTTCGAAATGTGTATTTGCGTGAGAGCTATACTAAATGATACTCTGTTTAGTATTGAAAGAACGGTACTTGAAATCTTCATTTTGGCATTGGGGTCAATGAAAGTGAGTAAGGGTAAGAATATTTAGGGTTTTACCAAAATAAATAGCAAAATTAATCGTATGTAATCAGTTTGCATGGAGAATTTTTATAAATTATATCCCATCAATTGGAAAATTTTGACCTTTACTGTCCTAATAATTGAGTTGTGCCGTTACATGATAAAATCTGGAATTAAACCTTATTAAATTGGGGCCACGTTGCTGTACCTACCAATCACTTATAATATGGAAATTATAGTCAATCTGGAGCGAAGTATCTTAATAATATATATCGGTACCACTGCTAAGTTTGAACCATTATAATTGGTTAGTGAAGATATCAAGATGTCACTAGGGAGACATACATACTACATCACAGTTAATTCGTTAAGAAATGTGCTCTGGAAACTTCACAATAACTAAAACCTGCTACATATATCAAAACAGGACCTTTTTTGATGCGAAAAATCAACCATCTTAGAGTCTATGTCATTAATTTATCTTAAATATAGTGTGAGAAATAGAGGCAAATTTTACAACAGCTATTAGGTTGGCTTCAATTGCAATCCATCATTTTGAACCAAACAGATTTTTGAAACATATGTTATTTACAAACAGATATTTATTTGTATATTATTATGTTCTGAAAAATTTACATTAAACACTTAATTTAAGTAAGGTTGGTTAGAATTGTTTAAAGACTACTCGTTTTGACCCCATGTGACCTTAATTTTATTTAAAATACATTTTTAATATGCATCTTTTAAAAATAGAAGCATTGCTTCAAGCTATCAGCCATTTGATTTTCTGGGAACTTCTTCGGTATGCATTGCTTATAAGTTTTTTCATATTTTTGACCTTCACTTAGACGTCGAGTTCGGGCCACTTGTATACGACCCCTTTTGATTTTAATGTCCAGATACTGTTGCAGATCTTCCAATTTAGAAAAAAGCGCGTGAAAATCTCTCTCTGGGTTATACAAAAACGTACATCTTATCTGGTATCCCCCGAATATAAAGCAATTGTACAACCGTTGTATTCGAAACTCTAGTTGGCGCATAATGTGTGTTGTAGTGGTTTCAGTTGTGGCGTACACATCGTAGGCAACGCTTAAATCCTTTCTTGAAGCGCATTTAAAGATTTCTGTCGACCAAAACTGAAGAAAGTCAACATAGGCATTTATACACCAGTCGTCTAGTCGCAAGTTCCACATTCTCAGTATTTCTCGTTGTACGTCAGCATAGCGCATAAAAATAGTTTGTGTTGATCGCAGCGTATCAACAATATATTCCAGAGCCTCATCGATTACCTCTGACAACATGACATGGAAGTATTCCATTTCTGCAAAGTAATCCGTCAGACGCATTTTTACCTTAGTGGGTAAATAACGTTGAGCAGAAGGCACTTGACGAAGTTTTTGCAATAGATTTACACTCTCGTTTTTTGCCACCTCGAAGAAGTTTTCAGCGACACAACCAAACGAACTGGCCATTTCCGATGCATATTCAAAGTAATCGGCCAATCCATAAAGACGCGCTAGTTTATCTGCTCCACTCTCCAAGTCGAGGTTATTACCCCCAACGTTGAGTATATCAGATGTAGATAGATTTTTCTGAAGGGTTTCGATAAAGTTCTGAAGTGTCCTCTGCAAATTGTTCTTCTTGTCATTGCCATTCTTGAGGGCTGCATAGAATTCCAATGAAATGTGATCACCACTAACTGAATGTGCTGGAGCTCCTATTCTTATTGGAGGTTTCAGAGCATCGATGTGGCACATAAGAATTAGGCACAAAAACGTTTTTACAAACGTCATCATTATGTTGGAAGTGTTCTTATTTTGTTGTTTCTTAATATATGGGATAGCGTAAAACGAGCACATCTATTTTCGTATTTTTATATTAAAAACACAGAGCGTTTATGCTGCCATAACGCACACCGTTCAAAACTATACTAATTTTTTTATTTACACAACAGTGGAGGAGACCACAGGGTGCCGCTTTTTTCCGACCAAACATAAAATATTTATATTTTTGGCCACTGTAAAGATGTTCGCTATTAATGGGATTGAAATTCAGATATTTAGTGCAATATTGCAGGCATTTATCACTACTGAATAAACACGACGGAAAGAAAAATGTGTGCATAAAATTCTTAAATATGGGTGTCCATTGAAAGTACACCAAAATAAGTATTTTACCAATCGAAATCACTTTTCTGGTAATAGTTACTCAGTGAGTTCTTTTGGGAGATTTTTTTTGGCACTGCCTTTCATAATTTCTTTTGGTACTACTATGCTTATGGGGTCCTAAGATGAAATAGTTTCGGATCGACCACATCGTTCACTCAGTAACTTTTAAATGCGAAATACGTATAACCCCCATATAACGGTACCTCCCAATATTCGGTATTTTGTTGATTTTAGCGTCATTATACACCAGAATTGTTTAAAATTACGTATTTAGAGTTCGTAATGGGAATTACAGTCTGTGACAGAAAATTGTCTATGCAGGTCCAGGTCTTCGTTTAGGCCCCATATATCAGTACCTATATTCGGTATTTTGACGAGGTACAATACCCACCGAAATTGTTTGACATGTCGTATTTGAAGTTCGTTATGGATGCTACAGCCTGTGACAGAAAATTGCCTATGCTGGACCAGGTCTTCGCACAGCTCCGATATAACGGTACCTTCCTTAATACAATATGATATTAGCTATATTATTCACCGTTTATTTCAAGTTTCGAATTTGAATATGGTAATGGCTTATGACAAACAATACCTGTGTAAGTTGGGGTCCTCGTTGTATAGACCCCAATATAACGGCTATAATCGGTATTTTTATAATTTTAACAGAATTTTTTTAAGGATTTTATTTTTTGAAAAATTCTAAATTCGTTCCAAATGGTGGAGGGTATTCAAAGCTCGGCCCGGCTTCCTTCCTGAACTTCCTGATTTTTAACTTGTTAATATTCCAAAAACACTGACTTGGTTCATTTTTGCTTAAAAAAATGAAAATGACAGTCGTTGACTTAGGTGTTTTACCGTTATCTTTGGAACGAAACACTTTTTGACATTGTGCTTTACAGAGTAAATAGAGTTGCCCTCTGCGGGGACATTGGCACTAGTTTCGGCATTTTTATTTTTATTTTTTATGACTTGGTTCGGTATAGCAGTGAGCCCTCCATATAAGGATTCCTTCCATTGCATGATTTCCTCGTTAATTTTGTCTTTGGTCCAGTCCAATACCGACTGTGATATATTTTTATGATAGGTGAAAATTGCTCAAGCTGTTTACATGTCTCTTGGGATAATTTCTTGATGTTCTGTAAAGTGTTATCTTTTTTTATTAAATATAATTGGAATTAAGTATAAAAACAAAGACCTCTTACACATACAATTGTGTTGAAAGTGTGTTCAATAGATTACTGATTTCTTAATCTACATACATAAAATTAAATTTAAACTCGGTGATAACATATACAATATTTTTGTCTTCTAAATATTTTTTTTTTCAGAAGCCTATATTATGATGACGCTATTTTTAAACACTTAAATCACAATGGAGGGTCATCTGCACAATAAAGATGCTCGGGAAAAGATTCTACATGCATCTGTTAATGGTGATACCGGGCAGCATTCAGAGATGTTGCAGACACAACAAACAACGAATAGTCTTGGGGCCAAACCTGTTTCTAAAAATAATAGCAATTTGACGGGAGATTTTGATGATAGCGCACAATATTGTACAAACAAGTCATCGTTCCGCTCTGCTAGTGACGCACACAAACATTCTGCCATAACGGACGATAGAATTAATACGGAGATAAATGATGATGTTGATGACGACGACTCAAATGATATAGTAGGACATGTTAGAAATGGTTGTGATATTAATTTAAAATTAGAAACATCAAAAGAAAGTCTTTGTGAGACATTAAAAAATATGTATTTCGAAACCGCTTCGTGTCCCAGAAACGCATTGGACGAAGTTGGAACATTATCAGTAAACTATAGAAAAAAACAAAATAATGGTGCACTCAGTTCTAGCACTTCCACGGATTCGACTGCCGATGGTGATATTAACACAAATGGTATAGCCACACGACCAAGCAAAATTGTTTCCAATACAGGTAATGCTTTTACTAACACTAATTGTGGGAAAAATGCCTCTCCGCCAAATTATGTGGCGCCCGCAAATAAATTTACATCCATTACTGCATGTCAAAACCAACATCGAAATGTTAATTATTTAAATGCATGTCTATCGCCTGCAAATCAACAATTTAACCTTACCCACAACCACCACAATGACAGAAAATATCAAATATCATTGGCTAATGATTTGAATACCAATCCCCCACATTGCACTAATTGCAAATCCACTTGCTTGAACCAAAAACAAAGGCAATCGTTATTTTCAAAATCTCAATCATTCGAGATTGGCCAGGATCTGCCATCCATTTCGTATATTGAAAATGATCATATGTTTTTCCAACTGTCAGAGATCAATAAGGATAGTCAGCAGCCCTTGCAGCATCAGAGTAAGATCTTTCCAGATGACGACAAACAACATACAATGCATACCACTGAAGATGATTGTTTGACGACAGATTTAGATGTAGGTGAACCAAATAACAGATGTGGAATGCCTGCGAAGACACAATCATTAGAATCTCGCCCAATATACCCCAACGTACCATATAGTCCATACGCTAGCCCTTATAGTAGTCCAAGATCGACCAGACGAAGACCACCTTTGCGGGAATCCAGACGTATCTCCATAGAGCAGAGTGGTAGTTTTCTACAATTGAATCAATACAAACTAATGGACCAAATCGGCCAGGTATGTTAATTTAATGGATATGTATACATTTTATGTGAAGGGCTTCTGAATGTCTCTGCGTGTTTCCCTTTTAATACCCTCCACCATACTATGCAGGGTACATTAACTTTGTCATTCCGTTTGTAACTCCTCGAAATACTCATGTCAGACCCAACAATGTATATATACATGATCAGCGTAAAATTCTAAGTCGATTTAACGATGTCCGTCTGTCTGTTGTAATCACGCTATTTTTCGTAGGCAGGTTATGTTCTTAAATGGGCCATGTAGGTCCACGTTTTCATATAGCCCCCATAAAACAGTACTTCCCGATATTCGGTATTTTGATGATTTTAGCGACATTATTCACCGGAATTGTTTCAAATTTAGTATTTGAAGTCTGAAATGGATACTACAGCCTGAGACAGAAAATTATCTGTGCAGGTCCACGTCTTCGTATAGCCCCCATACAACGGTACCTCCCGATATTCGGTATTTTAATGATTTTAGCGACATTATTCATCGGAATTGTTTCAAATTTGGTATTTGAAGTTCGTAATAGATACTACAGCCTAAGACAGAAAATTGTCTATACAGGTTCAGGTCTTCGTTTAGGCCCCATATATCAGTACCTCCCACCGAAATTGTTTGAGATGCCGTATTTGAAGTTCGTAATGGATGCTACAGCCTGTGACAGAAAATTGCCTATGCTGGTCCAGGTCTTCGCACAGCTCCGATATAACGGTACCTCCCTAAATACAATATGCTATTAGCTATATTATTCACCGTTTATTTCAAGTTTCGAATTTGAATATGGTAATGGCTTATGACAAACAATACCTGTGTAAGTTGGGGTCCTCGTCGTATAGACCCCAATATAACGGCTATATTCGGTATTTTTAAAATTTTAACAGAATTTTTTAGAGATTTTATTTTTTGAAAAATTCCATATTCGTTCCAAATGGTGGAGGGTATTCAAAGTTCGGCTCGGTCGAGTTTCCTGCTTTTTAACTTGTTTAATATTGTTCATATAACATGAATTCAAAATTTTGAAAAACACACAGAATTGACATTCTTTTTTGACACTCATTTTCTTTCGACATGCAAGGTAATAGGCAGAGTCGTCAGAAAATTTTACAGCAAAAACGTATAAACTATTATTATTATTTCTATCTAGAACATCAGAAAAAAAACATTAAAGTAGAAGATGTATTCCTAAACTAATGTCTACTGTGATATCTTTGGAAGATATATTTTGTTTAAATTACATGTTCTTTTCCGTGTTTTCATTCGTTGTTTAAAGACTGCTGTCACGTTCAGATACACTTAAGTATTTAATATTAGTAATCCATCATTTTAACAAGATAAAGCCACTTGTCCACAAATAAACCGACTAGAAAGGTTGTCCATTGCAACCGACTAATTTTTACTTTTTATTATACCCTCCATCATAGTATGGAGGGTATATTAAGTTTGTCATTCCGTTTGTAACACCTCGAAATATACGTTTTAGACCCCACAAAGTATATATATTCTTGATCAGCATAAAATTCTATGTCGATTTATCAATGTCCGTCCGTCAATCCGTCTGTGGAGATCACTCTAGCTTCCGAACGAAATGAAGAAGGTTGATAAAATTTTACTCAAATGTGTATTATGTCTGCAGGACTTTTGGTATTGAAAATGGGTCATGTAGGTCCACGTCTTCGTATAGCCCCCATATAACGGTACCTCCCCATACCGGAACTATTTGAAATTTAGTATTTGAAGTTCGTAATGAATACTACAGCCTATGACAGAAGATTGCTTGTTTTTTATTTATATTACCATTCTTTAGATTATACTAAAATTGTTAGCAAACTTGTACCCAAAAGTTGTATGACTCAAAAAATTCAGTTTTTACTTTATTATTCTGTCAAATGTTCTTCTGATATTTTTATAGCCCGAGGAGTTTGATATAAATCAACAAAACAGTATTTTGGGTATAAAACACTTAATTACTTCAATTCATTCTTAATTTTGCACATAAAATTGGATCCTCTAACCCATTTTTTGAGTTATCGACAAATATCGCTAAATTATGAATAAAAAGTCTAAATTAAAATCTGCAGCACTAGACGGAAACAATTGGCCCGCCATTGAAGAAATGAAGCAAAAACTTAAAAAAGGGCCGTAAAACAACGCATGTAAGCTTGCGATTTTCAAAATAAGGATGCAAGGAGAAGAAGAAAAGTTCTAAATGATTGAAAGAAGAAACTTATTCGACAAGAATTTGCAAACTCTCAATGAAAGAACTGTCAAAATATTTCTCTCGAACTGCTTTCTTTTGCAGAACATCAGTGTTAACGGACGGGATTGTCTAACTTTTTCATTTCATTTTTTTCATTTTCATATATATATATATATATATATATATATATATATATATATATATATATATATATATATATATTTCTATTTCTGTCATGTTCACCCGTTTATATATACATATATACATATATATATATATATATATATATATATATATATATATATACATATATATATATATATATATATATATATATATATATATATATATATATATATATATATATATATATATATATATATATATATGGAACAAAAATAAATTTGGCAAATTATAGATATCACATTTCGATATAGCTCCCATATTTCATTTCAATGAAATTTGAAACGTGTGACGGATTTTATCTAAAAAATTTATTTCCCAAATTATATTGAAATCGGTTCAGATTTGGATATAGCTTCCATATATATTTTCGACCGATTTCGTTCATTTGATGCCCCAAACACGATATGAATGTTCGATTCCAATGAAATTTTGAATTTTTACCGGGATTTGATCCGAAAATAAATTTATCAATTTATATTGAAATCGGTTCAGATTTGGATATAGCTCCCATATACATTTTCGACCGATTTCATGTATTTGATGCACCAAAAACGCTATGTATCTCTAATTTCCATGAAATTTGGAATGTGTAACGGAAATTAAAACGAATATACATTTGTCAAATTATATTGAAATCGGTTCAGATTTGGATATAGCTCCCATATATATCTTCAGCCGATTTCGTTTATTTGATGCACCAAACACGATATGCATGATCGATTCCAATGAAATTGGGAATGTGTGACGGGATTTTGATTAGAAAATAAATTAGTCAAATTATATTAACATCGGTTCAGATTTGGATATAGCTCTCATGTATATTTTCGACCGATTTCATGTATTTTATGCACCATACACGATATGTATGTTCGATTCCAAAAAAATTTGGAATATGTGACGGGATTTTGATTAGAAAATAAATTAGTAAAATAATATTAAAATCGGTTCACATTTGACGCACCAATTTCAATGAAATATGAAAGTTGTGGCGGAATTAAGTGTAAAAGTAAATTTTTTAAAATTATATTTAAATCGGATAAGATTGGGATATGATTTTAATAAGAACCATTAACGCACAACGCCTTAGGCTAACACTAAAAAACAACACAACAATTTATTTGAAATATGCTTATTACGGGGAAGTATGTTGCCACCTCGAATTCATTAATTGGAATAGAAATGCCACCCAACTTCAAAAAATTGCAGTTTCCTGCACGCTTGGTATTTGCTATGATATTTATTTCATTTCAAAGGACAAACCCTTCGTGTATGCATGTCATGTTACGAACGTTTGAATTTTTTTGTATAATTTGTATAATTTTTTGTTCAAACGTTCGTCATACCTAATGTGACCATTTATATTTTGCGTCAGAGCGGGACGCCTGCGGAATTTTGTAAAAAAAAAATTATGCATTTAAAAACAAATTTTATTTAAAAACGGAGAGAATACGTATAAATCTAATTTATGAAATTAATCGTATGTCTAAGTATTTGTTTTATATTTGTCAGCAGAGCAAATTAGCTTTAAAATATCGGGTCTAGTTTTCAAGTAGGAATGGAGCTGATTACATTGTTTGTTGATGTTAGTCTTAGTAATTAAAATAGCTTTTAAAACTGTCACACTTAACTGCGTTTTTTCACTTGTCCATATTTTATTCATTAGGGAAAAAACTCTTTCGACAGGTGCGTTACTTCCAGGCATACATAAAACATACTCAATAATTGTGCGAAAGTTTGTGCAGTTGAGATTATTAGCACGGAAGTGTTTAAACAGCTCCACCCAACGGTCTTCAGTAGCAACATTCTCATCGTTCTAGCTTTTGATTTTTTCAACTGTGACGTAACTGGAAATAAGCGAAAACTCATCGAACACCTCCGTATCTTGGCTACTCCTAAGAAATCTTTGTGTGATCAGCAAATCCATCACATTCTGTCCGTCACACGTCTTCCCACGTAGGGACTTTTCTCAAATTTGACCATTCAAATACTGCTAGTTGTGCATTGAACTGGCACCACTGTTCCAAGTATTCTTTACTTGTCTTATAAAAATCCGCTGCCGCAGTTTTCACATTCTGCTCATCAGCAACGTCAGTTTTTTGTAATTTTACCAGTAGATTGCGGGCGGAATGAGGAAGGAAAATCGAATTCTCTTTAAGTTCTAAGTTATCTCGGAGACGATTAATTTCATTCGCAGACTCTATTGCGGACACGTTTTGTCCCTCGATTTTCAACACGGCTTGATGAAAAATCGCTGTCTGTGCGTGCAAAAAATATAACCACAATTCAGAGCTGGGATTTTCGAAAAACGTTTTTAAAATAGTAGGGAATTTATCTATGCTCAGAAAATAAGGCTGAAACATTTTTAAAATTCTCTCAAGCACCGGCATTAAAGCAAGCCACCTTGTTTTACTGTAGCCCAGCAGTTTCTGATACTCTGTGTCGGTGGAATCACAGAACTCTTTCAGAACTTCTACCCGAATGCTGTAGATGTAGAAGAATGAATAAATTTTCACAATGATGCATTCGAAGTCAACAGGTAGACAATCTGCGGCTGTTTTGATAGCATTATGAATTATATGGGCTCCACACCCAATCCCAATGAGCT